ATTGTAATTTTTGCTCCAATTATTTTTTGAATAACTCCCAACAGTTGAATATCCACATTTTATGTAATATTCCCTTAGTTTATTTAAATTATATTTAATTCTGAAATATAGCTCACAACCCTTGCATATAAGTATAATTATTTTAAATATAGAAATTTTAAAATTCAGTTTTTGTGTCCTTCAACTCCCTCACTCTCGACTAGGGTTAGGTGCAATTTAGAAGATTCAATTTTTATTTCATATATCAAATGTCAAATATACTTTAAGCAATAATCGAGTACAAATTTTTTACACATCCTGAATTAAGGCTACAATATTAATGCGAACATGAATGGAAAATGGAATCTCCATCTCCGTTGTTGGACTATTTTTCAAATTGCGTCACTGGGGTACACATGACATTCACAGTTTCATTGCGCTCGAGTGTAAAGAGTGCACAGCTGGTAAACCATGGAGTACAACAGAACGCAACAAGACATAGCGCCTGGCTCATGTTGTACTTCACAGTTACCACAAATCCCTAAGCGGGTACTAAACCTAAAAAACAACAAAAAAAATAGAAAAAAAAGGAAAAAACAAACAAAACTAAACTAAAAATGGAACTATATTCCTATTACCCTATGCAAGCCAGTAAGACATGCAAATATGTCCTTCCCCTTGCACCAACACCGAAACATAAGTTCACTAAGCACGGTGGGTTCCCTCAACGTGGGAATTGTGGTTTTTCATTTCAATTTGTGATTCCTTTTTTCTCTCCTTGCCACATACATTTGCATTTCAGTTTGTTGCTTTATTGTATTGCCTTATGTGTGTTTTTATACTCAGCCCTTATTCTGATATTTCATTTCTCTTGTCATTTCTATGTTTCTATTTTGGTTTTATAGTTTTTTTTTACTTTACTTTTAACTAGAATTCCTTTTTTGTCCTGCTTCTTAGCTACTTCCTTTCGTACACGCATATGCGTTTCGCTTTAACCCTTTCATAGCTATGGGTGTTTCTGTTACCACAGCTGCTATGCAAATGTGAGCAAATCCAAAGACAATCTAACCCACAATCGTACAATTTGTGGACGAGTAAGATGAAAAAACACGCAATACTAAGCCGTTTGCACAATGGAATAATACACAAAGTAAAAAATTTTTGGAATTTTTATGAATTCTTCCTTTTTGGTGCAAAAGTAGCTCTTAGGGACAAAAGACAAAGTGAAGAAATGAATGTTGGATTGTTCTCACAGATGTTTTACGATAGCTTACAAAGTAGTTTATTTTTTACGAATAGACTCATTTTTTACAAACTTCAATCTACGTTTATCTTCAGTTTTCAGATTAGATACTCACTAGTGAAGTATAGAATAGAGCAGAATAAATAAGTAACTTACAGTATATATAGTATAATAACATACCAAAGCATTACGATCTTAGTAGTTCTTTATGGTCATTTACTCATAAATTCAGTTCTTCAATTCGAGTCCGAATATGTTTTGTTAAAGAGGTCCAAACTTGCTCCCAGAAGATCAAGTATTCTCCTGCTTACCCATATCAAAGCGGGATAGTCACAAAGAATGTAATTAAAAGTATAATTTTCCTTTCACGCATAAACGATATTGTGTTACCTTAGATATACTAAACTTGTATTAATCTTTGCAGGACTAAAATAATCCATCCAGTAACATGCCAGCAGCTTCACCCTTATACGACTGAGAAAGAACATTTTCTTTGTGTGTGAAACAGATAAACAAATTTGATTTTAACTTCAGTAATAACAGCAACGACTATTTAACTTAATTAGGACTATTGTATTTAATCGAGATATTTCGAACAGGAGTGAATTGCAACAACAAAATTTTCTTACTTATTTTAAATTAATTAAATTTTTGGCCTATTCCCATTCTTAGTGATCTTAAAATTATTTCTTATATTTCATCAGCTTCTTCTTTATTAGAACTTCTTACAACCTGTTATCTCGAATTTACAATATTGTCAGTAGTAAATGGAAAAAAAACTAAATATTTTAAGTTAGTTTGATAGGCCGAATCTTACTGCCCTAATAGGAGTGATAAGAGATTCCTATCTTATATACATATACACAGCTATACTGAAAATGACCTGTTATGATTTTTGTAGGAGCTGCCATACTCAACTACAGTTAAGCATCTTCTCCACATCTGTCCTAGAGATGCTAAAGTCCTATCCTATGCAGAATTGGTATAGAAACAATTGGAAATTTATAGACATTCTGAAAGAAATCTACAAAATGGACTTAGTAAGTAAGTGGATTAGGATCCCTTAGTTCAGATTCATTTAAAGATAAATAGATCTAATTGTGTTTCAAGGACATGACGACAGACACTTTACCTACTCACTTTAAAATCTTCATTTTCATCTTCACGTTAGTCAGAGCTATCAAGCTTGGAAACTCTTTCCGATACGATTGTGTTGCTTTAAAATAATTTTAGAATGGAGTATTAAAATTTATTTTCAAAACTATATGACTAATATCGTGTTACAATACATGGTTTTATAGACATTTACTGCTAAAGCAGCAAGAGCCAACGATGTCATATAGAATTTGCATCAGAAAACTTTCGTTTTCTCAATAAGGTTATCAATCATCTCAATGATGTTTATACATCCTGCGTATAATTGGACATTCGAAGTAGGGACGTGAAAATAATAACTTTTGTTTGTTGAGACAAGTCTTTACTTCCAAATTTATTAGCCAATCAATATTAGTACCTGTGGGTTAGGTTACTTTCATTTTGAAAATATTACTTCAGTACTGTGGCGTTTGTTTAGTGCTCATATACAGTCAAACTGTCATAACTCAAAGTACCATTGTGCAAAGAAAAGGTTGTACTTATGGGAAGTTAAGGAATTTTATTGTAATTATATGTAGCTTACTCTCTAAATTCTATTGCATTCTATTTAGTTCGAGTTATAGTGAATTCGAGTTATGGAACTTTGACTGTATATCATGGAATTAATCATTAATGGCACAGTATTTGACGCACTGCTTAGCAACTAGCAACTGGCAACTGGCAACTCATATTATTATTATAAAGCAACATCGAATTTCTTAATATATCATTATGTTATATGACATATTTTATATTTTCTATATATATAAATACACATATTTCTTATTTAATATTTAATATTTTTATTTAATATATTAATTTTAAAGCAATTTCTAATATTATTCTCAATACTATTAATATTGATTATTGAATTCTTTTATTTTTTCTTTTATACATAAATTTCAAAATGTCTTAAATTATAGAATTGAAGTCAATTTTTATGATTTGAAAGTTTTGATAGTTTGACAAAAAGTCGATGATGTGATTTTTATGACTTAAAATTGAAGCAAATATAAAAATTAAACTTACCAAACTTTAAGAAGATGAAATCAAACTTTTTGACATAAAAGAAATTTGTAAAATTTGTTTTATAATAGAAATTATTAGAGTAACTAACAAAACTTACAAAAAATTTCAAAATTTATTTTATTGACATCACTATAAAAGTTTTAATTTAATGAGAACACTAAAAAATTTTTTTATTATTTATAATAAATAGTATAATACTTAAACTAAAACATAAATGTTTCGAATATTATTTGTAAAGATAATTATTTTGTTCACTGATTTATTTTATATTTCTTGCTAATATAAATACTAATTTAACATAATTAATTTAGACTTACTAATATCAACAAACGTTACGTGTATAAACATATTTCAATAATTTAATACCTGTATTGTTAATAGGCTTCAGAATGCCCTCTTATTATAGATTGTAAGTTCATAGTTTACATTTTCTATGAAAATAATCTCAATATTTGAATAAAATTATTTAATTAATAATGGAATTTTTGACCAGTACGTTTTATTGTTTTAGTTAAAAATTTTAACTAAAATTATTTAATATTGAATAAAATTGTTAGTTTTGTTAACTCAATTACTTTAAAAAATAAATATCTCATTGTTTCAACACTTAAAAGCAGCTAATAATTTGTAGTTGTACAACTTCTTCAAATATTTTACAACATTTCTACTCAGTAGATCTTTTTATAATAACAAAA